ATTTGGGTCATCATAATTTGAGTTAAGTTTAATTTGGATGGGAATAACCTTAACAGTGTTAATAAGGAAAGGGATCTTGGTGTAGTAGTCAATTAGTCTTTAAAGCCATCCAAGCAACGTGCTGTTGCTAGTGGTAAGGCAAATAGTATTTTAGGTTATACCTACAGAAATATTGAATACAAGTCTAAATAGGTTATAATTTCAATGTACAGGTCATTAGTTATGCCACATTTGGAATATTGTGTTCAGAATGGTGCCTGGGATGAAGGGTTTTTACAAGAAGAGGTTGAAATCTCTCAAACTGTTTTCTCTTGAAAAAAGAAGAGTTTGGGGGGGGTCTGATTGAGGTGTTTAAGATTGTAAAGGGAATAGTAGGACTACGAAACAGAAATATATATTTTGGTAAGGTAGGAGTCATTTCAGCTAAGACAGTTTAATTTTTTTAACAGGATGGTTGGCCTTTGGAATGAGTTGCCTTCAGATGTTGTAAAGGCAGTAAATTCAAGTAAGTTTAAGAAAAAGCTTGATAAGTACATGAATGATAAGGGCTGGCTTTAAGATTTTTTTCTTAATTATTTTAATTTATTTTAGAGGATGGAACAGCTGAGATAGACCAATAGGTCACATATTGTCCCAAAACAATGTTATGTTATAATCAAAACTAGTACTAGTAGTACTATACTGTACAGTCTTTAGAACTTATAAATTTTAATATATGTTTTAATTTTGGTATTTAAGTTAGTAGTATTACTAATACTATTAGCATTACTAAAATAGATGTGTGGAAAAAGCAGTTACAAGTACTGCAGAGTACAGTCCTGTTGGTAAAAGTGATCATTGGTACTACTAATACTATATATCTTACAGTTACAACTTACACGCGTATTAAAAAAAATAACCTTTTAATAATTAATATTATTAGTAATACTAACACGTCATACAACTCCGCCCAAGAATGGAGAACTGAACTATACGTAAAATTTATTAAACATTTAACTTCGTCACAGCTTGCGACTTAAATTAACGTTAAACTTAAACTTTAAAAGTTAGTCAAACTTTCAAAGCTTTAATTTCAAAATCAAATTAAATTTGTCAAGTTCACCGACACCATTCACTTTCTACAGTATATATCTTTTAAGTTTTAAATAATAAATACACTATAACTGTAACTACACTCTATTATCAAAAGTAACTTAAAAATAAAAAGACTTACACGCAAGTTTTATAAAACATTAGTAACAGTATACCATAACTATACATTACAACTCCTAAACACAATTTTAATAGCCTGGTATCCTTGCTCAACGCTATCCAATTCCAAAGCTTTAATTAATAACGTAATGATTTATAGATGACGCTTTACTTTCGCATGCGAATGACAGTTTCAAAAATATATCTCTCAGTAACAGTATCATATTTATAAATTTTGGAATTTTTTTGTTATACGCTTAAGTCCCGATTTTCTAATTTAGTTTATATTTAACAGGTTTCAGTTTCTCAACAAATTAGCTACTATGCCCCCTCCCCAGGACATACGTAATATTTCATAGCAATTATTATATACGTCTTGCTGTTATTTATTTAAATTAAATACAGTTTTATGAATATATCGTTTTTAGTTAATCAACAATTTTCTCATATTAAAAGTACAAAATTTAACTATCACAATTTAATACAAGTATGTAAGCAAATAAATTATTAAAGTAAATCAATTCAATATTTTTATGTAATTTACGGTTATTTATTTCTATATTTAAGTAATAAAAGAACAAACTACCAAGTAATGCCATTATGCCTTTTTATTTCATAAATAACTTTTAACCAGTCTGTCACCAGCAGCATCTTACGATAAGCATTAACAAATAATCACTGTTCAAGTATAATTTTTCATATGAAGTAATTATCATCACTTCAAACTTAAAAGAGGAGCGAACTGGCACACTGGTAGATTTCTGTATTTCAGAGCTAGCAAACTGGGTTCAAATTCGTACGATATCTTAAAATATGCCCTACACTTTTAGTTGTGGATGTGTTAAGAGTATCAGTCAATTCCCCTACTGCAGATGGTAGAAAGCTACTGTCTGGCTGCTTTCCCTCTGTCAGTGATTTAAAATTAAGGGTTGGTTTGATTGTTGTTAAACGCAAAGCTACACAATAGGCTATCTGTTCTGTCTACCATGGGTATTGAAACCCAACTTTTAGCGTCGTGAACCAGCAGACTTACCGCTGAGCCAATGGGGTTCAAAATTAGTGACAGCAGCTGATAAGCTTAGTAGCCTTGCCATAGATACAAAATTAAAAAGAAAATACTATACATGAATGCAGAAAATGATTAACTTACTTAAATGCAATTTATAATAACATTACTGGCAATTCTGGATCTTATAACAATGCAATATTCTAATCTCATAAGTCGTTTTGAAGTTATTTCATAATATATTGAATTTTAACTTCACTGTTTTTTTATTTAATTAATTTTATTTAAATGTTCCATTTATAAACATTATATTTATAAACATTAAGTATTTCATAACATTGTTGTGTGTCGGGATTGTTACTGTAGTTTCGTTTGTTTGTAATTAAGTACAAAGCTACACAATGGGCTATCTGTGCACGGCCCACCATGGGTATCGAAACCCGAATTCTAGCGTTGTAAATCCGCAGACATACCGCTGTGCTACTGGGAGGCTGTAGTTTTGTTTATGGTCTTTATCTTTATTACATGTATAAAGCTACTCGTATTATTTTTGATGAAAATATATCGCAGTCATGAAAACATTACTGTAAATATGCAATAAATAATTAGGTCGAGAATATATTACAAAAAATAGTTGAGAAACTCAGGAAATATATAAATGTTTATATAACTTTTAAATGTTTAGCCAGACGTATTTCGTCTTTCCTTACGTTAGCAATACATTAAATGTATAAGCTTGGTGGAAATATCTTTAAGTACGGTTGTATTTAGCAGTACGTATTTTAATGAAACCAAGCGTCTGAATATTAACAATAACTATTTCACAGTATTGGTTAAGCAAAACTAAAGCTTATTGTATATATAAGGTCGTCTAAATCGCCTTAAACTTGTTTAGGGAATGAATCAAAATTTCAACATGTCAACGAATTTTTATCTAAGTAAGTGAATGACTTTCCTAGATAAGTGTACAGAAAAATGGACGAAGCTTATCGCTCTAATTATTTCACAAACCTCATCCGTCTGGAGTTCCAGTAATTCCTTTTTGGTACTGAAAATGATACTAATGAGGTTTACGAGCGCCACAAGCTAGGTATTGCTGGCACACAAAAATATAGCCAATAAAAAGTAATAGATGAAACTGTAGTCCAACTTTGATTGGATGAAACCAATTAAAGAATGCATTAGGCGCCTACTTTACAGATTATATTTTCGATTTTACATTTGGTGAAAAGAAAAATATTTGTAATATATTTTTTGATACGTTTTATATAGGATATCATCCTTTTAATTTGTCCCCAGTGGATCTGTGATAAATTTACGGACTTATAACACTAAAATTATGGTTAGATTCCTCATGGTGGACATAGAACAGAAAGTCAATTGTGTAACTTTTCGCTAAAACAAACAGATGCTTTTAAACTGGCCTAAATTCTTTCACCCCCTACAGCTCATGATAGTTGTGCTATTACCTCATAGTTTTCCTTTGGCGTAAAAAATTCTTAGCACTTTTCCCCATTAGTGATGGTCTCGCCAATCATTTACTATTTCCCTCTTTCCCTTTTCTTTTGCTTGTAAAATCATTTGCTATGGTAGGTTCAATGCAACCACCATTTTTATTATTCGTGTGTTGTAGATGTCTCCTTTTGGCACTGTTCCTTTAGGACAGTTAGTAACTTTTATCCTTTGACTGCTTTTCCCCTTTCACTGTAACACTTTGTTTTGTAAAGATGACAAATATATCTCATTTATCGTTTGGGGAATTTTCAAGTTACAATGATATATTGCTCAGTATCATAGATATAGGTGATGTGAATTGATATTTGATACCTATGCTGAAGTAAAGGTGCATGGTCAAAAGAGAGCTTAATTTATAAAATATATGATGAAATAAACTATAAAGATGCCCTAAGACAGAACTAAACAGAGACTTGTAACAATGAAGCAAAATGGGGCATTGATTTGTGGATTAATAAACAGATTAAATAATTAAGAGTTGAAACAAAGAGCCTAAAATATATTTAGAAAAATAAGCAAAACACATCGCACACCACGTAATTTATCACCAGATCTACGTAGAAAAAATTCACATATCAAATCTTACAACCACATCTAAGTCACAGTATTGGTATGTTCCCTCTCTTTGACCTTAATTCAAATCACTCATAATGTATTGATTAATATTTTAGCAAAACTATCTGTCCTAACCCAGAGTTGATGTTTATGATTTAATTGAGATTTGCCAAGTTTGACAAAGAAACAAATAATAAACTGGCAAATATTTCGCTGGATAAGAATATTCCTCAAAGAAGCAAATGACGGGAAACTGCTTAGTCTTTGGGGAATAAACATATATATTTTTAAATTGCTGTAGGAAATAAGCACTTAAGTACGATGGTGATATTCTATTGCTCTCTCCGAATATTTCATCTTCAGGAATAGAGTACCCAGTTACAATGTATGTGTTTTTTCTATTAGGGCTGAATAACATACATCATGGTCTTATGAAAGAAGTTTAAAGTAAAAATGAGCAGAACCTGTTTATAACTGTATCTTATTTTATGAAATGGAAAACCCAACTCAATATAGCACTGATGGACCAGAGCCTAAGGCTAAAAAGATAGATAGTGAGACGCAAAAACTAGAAAATCAGTCACATATGAAGACAAATAATATTTGATTTTGAAAAGATAAAAGAATATAGAATTTCTCGACTGCTTCCAGGCAAACAGAAGATAATAGCTAGTGTCCAACAAAAAGAGAGAGTTACAGAGACATAGACCCTCCCATCTTCTCTACAAACGTGCCCCGAAAGTGTGAGAGTGTAAGGACATAAGAGAAAGAGAAGTAGAGTTTGCTGGCTGTTTTTCAAGGGAAAAAAAAACTGCAGCTAGTATCAACAAAGAAGTAGGAGTCGCAGAGACAATCAATCAGTGCTCTAGGTGTACCAGACCCCGAAAGTTCTCCTTCATGACCTTGCAGTCACAGTGAGAAAGATCACAGGCCTTTGTAGCCTTAGCAAAAGACCAATAATCAGGAGTAGAATACTGTGAGATCAAACTACTCTTTTGAACAACCACCTACCATCAATAACTAACTCTTCCTCTCGTTGCAAGACCTCCAATTAGTAGAAAATGTAATTTCTTAGAGTACGAAACATTTTAAAACTTAACAACTCTATGGTTAATAACAACACAAAAATATACTCATAAGGTGAAAAAATGAAAACACATCAGGGATAGATTAAGGCAGGGGCTATTAAGGCTGTAGCTCTAGACCCGGACCAAAAAAAAAAGGCTGTGATAAAAAAAATGTTAGGAAAATGTTGAATAAGAATTATTCGACCGAGTTTACTTATTTTTGAGGAGAGAGAGAAGTTTGTGTATGGCATAGATAGGCCTATCATGCGATGTTGAATGCAGAGATTTGATTGGCTTGCTTCCAAATAATGTGACTAGGTGAAGCCTACTCTGACCTAGCACGTTTTTATGCAATTTGCTAGACCTAGTCACGATAACTGAATGATAGACCTCGGTCAATCAAAATCTCTTCACTCTACATTTTCGTGATGCTTTCAGCCAGACTCATCTCTCGTGGCTTGTGCCTGACACACTGTTTCTTATCATATGATTAAACATTAGGCTTAGAATATGAATAGATCTAAGTTGTTAGGCTAAATTGAAGATATCTATATATTTTGATTCTTTATTCTCAAAGTCTTTGGATTTTGTTCAAGCAAAGAGTTCAATCGTCACTAACAACATAAGTATCAGTAATTAAGCTTTTAGCACCTATTATATCAATCGGTTGTGTTTTTTGGGCCGAATTTGTAAATTTTTATTCCGTCAAAAATCCATAATTACTTGCGAGCCTACACTGGCCCACTTACCAACTGAAGACAATTCGTTGATAACTTGACAAGCATCACTAAATGGAGAGTATAGAATACAAGTAATCATTCACAGAAAATGATATGCAATCATTTGTTATTATTCTATTAGATAGCTTGTTCTGACATCTCTCTCATACACATACTCATATAAGTGCGCTTATACGTACACACAAATATTATTTATAAAGTGTTAATCTTATCTATTATATAGATGTGCTAACAAAAGAACAGTTGGGAAAAGCTAAAATTGAAGAAAGAGGAAAATTAGAGAAAGTAGTAGCTAAAACAAGGAAGCTAACAGACTTATGGGCTTCGTCCTCTAATGCTGAAACCATTGTCAGCCAAGGCAGTGGAAAAAACATTGTAGGCACTAAACCTATGGATGCTGATAACCGTCAACCTCAACATATCAAATTGAGCCCTTGCCCTCAATTAGAAAGTACTAAAAACATAATTGCCAACCAAGACTGCGAAAATAATCATGTACAGACTACAAATTTCTATGTTTATGTCCATCAACTTCATCAAGTTGAATCGATCCCCAACCAACGGGAAAAATTAATTATCACAATCGCAATAAAGATACTAATCCGTTCTTTACATTTGACACTGGGACATGGACACAAGTTTCTTATGAAATGAGAGATTCTGTTTGTGCATTGGAGACTACAAAATCGATTCCGGGTTACAAGTATAAACGCCAATGCTCAAAGGCTCTTTTTTTTATCGCGAGCAATTTAATGGAAAAAAGGTTAAAAGAGCTACTCATCATCGAAGGGGAACATCTGTGTTATATGCAAATTGTTTTCAACAGGAATGGAAACTTCTTCACTAACAACAACTGGTGACTCTGACTGGAAACATGCTGCAAGAGACTTTAGTTATGTCCCCAGATTTGTTACTCATAAAGCCAAAGATGGACAAATCTACAAGACTTTATCAGAACATATGGGATCAGAGAAAAATACTGGCTTAAAGTTCTAGAGCATATTCTCTCAGTCAAAAAGTTTTTATTATCTGAAGGAAGCGATGAAGTAGTTGGTTCAGTGCACAATGGCAGTTACTTAGGAATACTGGAGCTAGTGACTGAGTATGATACATTTCTTGCTGAACACGTTAAAAAATGCGCAAATAAGGGAAAATGTAGTGTTTCATATTCATCCCCAACTGTTTGTGATGAATTCATAGAAATATTGCACAAAGAAGTTTTCAACAGCATTATCCAGGAAATCAAAAATATCTAAGTATTATTTAGTGCCTATAAGCATTACAAAGGAGCAGAACTTGCTAGAAATCTCATTAATTTCCTTGAAATACATGATATAAAAATTCAAGATTGCCTGATATACAGCTTTCTGTTCCTCTGTCCATCCATTCATCTCTGCCAGTAGCTCGAATTGTGCCCTATATGCGTCCCACGGTGCCTTCCCATCGAATTCCTGTGGCTTCCTTCGCACTGGATCACTCCTATTACTGACATTCATATCTGGGATGTGACATCTAATGGGACTGAATATGTCTGCATTAGGGTTTAGCTGTGGGCTGTGTAAGGGGCTGTAATTTCTCTTCTTGTTTATTTTCTTTCTCCTCCAACAACTGCTGTAATCTCTCTTCTTGTTTATTTTCTTTCTCCTCCAACAACTGCTGTAATCTCTCTTCTTGTTTCTTTT